AAAATGATTTTGAACTCGATAATGAAATCCTTGAAAACTTCGTTTACATTAAAAGAAGATATTCTCTTCATTGACTCCAGGGACAATGATGTCTTTTTAAAAATATCTTAATCAATACGAATATTTAATTGCGAAACAGAAAAATCTAAATATGATAAATTAAATTGTTGTGCATTTTTGTTGTTAATTTGATTGTTGCAAATTTAAAAGAACGTGATGTCAAGACGTATAAAAGTGTGTTCGTTTTTTATTATTCTGAATTAACGTAAAAGAAAAGCGCAAGTAAAATCAGAGTTTTTGTTTTCGTTTGCCTCGAAATATAATGAATTTAGCCTATTATTGCGTTCTTTAAAATGGGTCCAATGATTACAAAATTTCTCAGGATAGAGGAAATAAATTTAGCAAGCCTTATAAAGAGCTAATATTAAATTGTATGATAAAACATTTATGGACTTTTTAGCTTGTCATTATGACGTATTATGAACTTGAAAAAAACATCCGTGAATAAATAATAATAATCTTAAAATGAATTCACAATAATTCTTAAGATATTGTTACAAAACTTATTAACATTACAATGTCTAGGCTGCTGTGTTTATAGTAAAAAATCAGATCCCAGTTCTGAAAATGCAGTTACAATGGTCCATGTCTTGGTTTAGCGAAATTCTTCACCAGTTTATTTATCATTTACAGACCCTTTCATTTAAGACCATTGCTTACTTGAAACAAACAAAACCTTTCATATCAGGACAAATGGCGGCGTTTGTCAAGATAAACGGATAAAGCGGCGCTTGTCTCCAAATGCTGGTTTCAACATACATGTATATTGTACCGAGTTTAATTCACTCGAAATGGCATTCAATACTATTTTAGTTTAGTATTTTTTTCATTCTTAATTTGCAGTTAGATTTGCACTTGATAGTCATTTGAAAAGAACATTTATCATGGAATTTTGACATGGCCACTGACAGACATGTTAATAAAATAAGGCATGTGTTAGATCCTTAAATGCCCATTTGCCTCAAAAATGATTTTATTCTTATTTCTTCTCGAAAGCTTTTTATTTTTGTTGTCTGATATTATTTAAAAAAATAGTTACTCATTGGCCATTTAACCTAACCTTCTCTTGCCTCTGTTGCTTTTTGACAATTTGACAATTATAGTAGTTATAATAGTCATTTAGTAATTTATATGAGGTCAAAATACTATTATGCTTACATTTTGCAACTTTTATGACAATGAATTTAGCGCTACTTTTTTCAGTTGGTTAGCATTATAGATGTTGAAAAAAAAACATTAAAAAAGAATTTTAACATTAAACACTGAAAATCACAATTTTGAATTTTCCAAAGAATGAAAAATTTCTAAGGCATAAAGTGCCTTTAAAAAGCTTTTGGGTTGAAATATTTTCAAGAAAGTAAATTTTTAAAGAAAGCAAATAGTTAAACGTGTATTGAATATTTATATTTTATTTACATGCTGAAATTAAGTAGTAGCTTTCTATGTTTTTAAGCTAAAACGATTTTGCGCGTTTTTGTGGATACTTTATGTTTTACCGTGAATGTTTCACTTCCGGAATGAATCCGGTGAAAGTCGACCAATTTCGGTCACTTATGTTCATTGTCAGCTCGCCTACGCAATATGTGAACACTGGCTATTCGTTGATCGTTGAATCTAATTTTTTTCCCTGTTGTATATGATTCTTTGTGGTACGATAATAATTAGAATTATAGATAATAGAGAAGGTTTTTATAGAATAATTTGTGTACTTCTCATTCCGCTTCGATTGTGTAGAATAATTGCTGTTTGATTGTATTTTATTTTAACTTGCATTGTAATAATATAATGTAAAATCATTATGTTATATTATAAGATCATTTTTACTTGGAACTTAATAGGCGCACCCACAAAGAACCGGTTTCTATACGTTCTGTTTACAAATATTTGCCCCTGTAGCATATTTAACATCATTTTATTCCTATAAGAATATAATTGTTTTTTCTTCTCTTGTTCTAAAGTAAAGTACTTCAGTCTATTAATGTGTTATCTTTAAGCCTTTTACTTTGATAGAAATCAAGAAGTTATAATAATAAGCAGAGTATCAAAGTGTTTCATGAGACGAAATGTTTACTATAAGATTCAATGAACTTTTAATGACTCTCTTTGCAATTTATAGAACACTTTTGACATATACCAACAATATGAAAAAAAATGTATTAAATATAAGCTTAAAGCTATGTTATTTGGCACAAAAAGAAATTAATGACAACGAACCTTTGATACTGATCTGTCATGATTATTTCAACAAATGCTCTGGTTTTAATCAGATATCTAAATGGAAATAGACTTTGACTCATTAACATCTAAGGGTGGTTACATAGTTTGTATAGTTTGTACATTAAACGTTCAGACAGAGACGACTAAAAGTACAAACTATCAATAATGAACAAAAACAATGATTTTAAATATGATATCATGCTCAAACAATTAAAAAAACCACACACACACCAAAGGTTTAAGTATTTTTACGGAATAGAAACAATTTTTATTACGTTACCATTCTTTCTATATTCCCTTGTCTTTCCGTATTGTATAACAATATAAAACAAAATGTAATCATGCAAATAAACACGTTGCATATGCACGTTAACATTTAAATTAAGAGTTGTTTTTTTTTTATTATTTTTGTTCATCCAGTACAATATGCAAGGTCAACAATGATTATATCAAATGTTCAGTCTAAATAAATGATGAGATAAAACCCACAGCAAGCAAAAGGCAGGACATAAATGGTGACATCTCCGGCGTCCGTACTCTCATTCCTTGAAAGGGCGTATGGACCCTTAATAGACATAGAATACACACATACAGCAGGCAAGTTAACCCTAAGCCTCCAAGAAATATGATGCTTGACCTGTTGTCTGGCAGATATTTTATTGGCTTTTATGCGTTTTTTTGTTTTTGTTTTTTTCTTGTATGAAGGATACGAACTTAGCGCGAAATTTGTCTTCTATTCAGTCAACAAATGATAATTTTGCTTAAATTTGTATACCACATTTCCTTGTAACCTAGTGGACACTTTATTTAGCACCGCCGTATATTACGGTTTTTTAGCGATATTTGTTTCAGATGTATTCTGTATAATATAATAAACAAGCAAATTCGTTGAATTTATATCCCCCGCCGACTACTGGTTATTATTAACACAACAACTGAAGACATAAGGCTTTATTTATATATTAATCATGGCATAAACTGTAATATTCTTTGAACTTGAAGCCTTGTACCTTCAAACAAGAAGAATTTTTAAGTTTTCACTATACATATAAGGAAAATCTATGACCCCCTAGAGTGGGGCCAATTTTGACCCCAGGGCTAAAATTTGAACAATTTTGGTAGAGGACCTATATCCAGACGAAAATACCCAGGTGCACAACTACACATACTGATCAACATTCCTGTAAAGTTTCATGACTCTAGGTCAAATACTTTTTGAGTTACATGCCACACAAGTTGAAAATGACAAAATTTTACTAAGTCAAGGGCAATAACTCTAAAACTACTAAAAATATCCAGACGAAAATACCCAGGTGCACAACTACACATACTGATCAACATTCCTGTAAAGTTTCATGACTCTCGGTCAAATACTTTTTGAGTTACATGCCACACAAGTTGAAAATGACAAAATTTTACTAAGTCAAGGGCAATAACTCTAAAACTACTAAAAATATCCAGACGAAAATACCCAGGTGCACAACTACACATACTGATAAACATTCCTGTAAAGTTTCATGACTCTAGGTCAAATTCTTTTTGAGTTACATGCAACACAAGTTGAAAATTACAAAATTTTACTAAGTCAAGGGCAATAACTCTAAAAATACTAAAAATATCCAAACAAAAATACCCAGGTGCACAACTTCACATGCTGATCAACATTCCCATAAAGTTTCGTTGAATTCCAGCCATCAGTTGCAGAGAACTACTCCGGAAACGAAATTCTAAGTCAAGGGCAATAACTCTAAAAATACTAAAAATATCCAGACGAAAATACCCAGGTGCACAACTTCACATGCTGATCAACATTCCCATAAAGTTTCGTTGAATTCCAGCCATTAGTTGCAGAGAACTACTCCGGAAACGAAACTCGGACGGACGGATGGACGGACGGATGGACGGACAGAAGGACGGACGGACAAAAATACCCAGGTGCACAACTACACATACTGATCAACATTCCTGTAAAGTTTCATGACTCTCGGTCAAATACTTTTTGAGTTACATGCCACACAAGTTGAAAATGACAAAATTTTACTAAGTCAAGGGCAATAACTCTAAAACTACTAAAAATATCCAGACGAAAATACCCAGGTGCACAACTACACATACTGATAATCATTCCTGTAAAGTTTCATGACTCTAGGTCAAATTCTTTTTGAGTTACATGCAACACAAGTTGAAAATTACAAAATTTTACTAAGTCAAGGGCAATAACTCTAAAAATACTAAAAATATCCAGACGAAAATACCCAGGTGCACAACTTCACATGCTGATCAACATTCCCATAAAGTTTCGTTGAATTCCAGCCATCAGTTGCAGAGAACTCCTCCGGAAACGAAATTCTAAGTCAAGGGCAATAACTCTAAAAATACTAAAAATATCCAGACCAAAATACCCAGGTGCACAACTTCACATGCTGATCAACATTCCCATAAAGTTTCGTTGAATTCCAGCCATTAGTTGCAGAGAACTACTCCGGAAACGAAATTCGGACGGACGGTTGGACGGACGGACGGACGGAAGGACGGAAGGACGGAAGGACGGACGGACAACGCCAAAACTATATCCCCCTCCCGATTCCATCGGCGGGGGATAATAATGGAATATGACTTGCTAAAACAACACACTCTGAGTATGTAATTAAGGAATAAGATGATTGGAAAACTGAAAATAAAACGAATCATTGGAGGATTAACATGAATATAAACATATATTATACCTCATTTGCATACGCCCTTCTATATTTAATATGACGTCACCCGGTCCATAAACCGCATACAGACCGGGGCCGGTCCATAATTCTTATGAAGACCGTTTAAACGTAACTTTCACGAAGTGCAAATTTCACGACGACACAAACAGACGATAACTGTCAAAATGGCCAAGGCTACCCGATTCGCATCATTATCTGAGACCGATTTAGTTAAACTCAGTGAATCTAAGGATTCGAAAAACACAAAAGCAGCAACAAAACATTCAGTAAAGCTGTTCAGGACATATCTGGCTGAAAAAGGCCACGATTCTTCCTTTGAAACTTACACGAACGGGGTTCTGAACAGTCGACTGCGTTTGTTCTACGCCGAGGTTCGAAATGCGTCTGGAGAACGATATAAGAGGACATCCCTGATTGCAATACGAAGTGGAATATGCAGGTTATTACATTTTCTTTATCTGTTAAATATTTTAATGTCTATTTTAAAATTTTGCAATATTTTATTTTTCGTCCCCAGACCATTTCGAAACAAGCGGACTTTGCCCTCACATTGTTGCCATAATTTTGGTTAAAAATTAAGGATTAGACAGAAAAGTCTAACAATATACTTAAATGACATGGCTTTGAGTATGTTGTATGCAGGGCTTTTTTTTGTTAAAAAAATATTAGTAGGGTCCCTGTCACCCATGACTGCTGTCAATAGGCCCATAAGGATTTTGTGTAGCTATATATAGATTACTGAAGAAATTGGCAGTTTTACAGTCTTGGCCCTAAGATAATAGATCTTGATATTTTGATTGTGTTTTCAGATCTTGTTTATTTTATAGATAAGGCTAGCTATACTTATATATTTTTTTATTTTCAGGTACTTGTGTCAATCTAACAACATCGACATAACTCGAGATGTGGACTTTAAAGAAGCCAACGACATGTTTGTTTGTATGTGTAAAGATACCTGCAAAACAGGTAAAGGAACTGTTGATCACAAAGTGTCCATCGAGAAAGCAGATTTAGAGCGTTTATACAGTTCCAGGATGCTTGACACTACCACACCGTATGGGCTTTTAAACAAAGTATGGTTTGAATTATGTCTGTACTTTTGTAGGAGAGGGCGTGAAAACCAACGTGAGCTGAAACCATCCATGTTTAATATCAGAACAGATGCCTTAGGCAAGCGGTATGTCTGTCAGGTGGATTCAGAAGTATCCAAAAACCACCAAGGCATTAAACATAGTGAAATTCAAGATAAAAATGTGAGAATGTATGAAACGGGTGGAAGAATGTGTCCAGTAAAAAGCTTTGAGAAATATTTGTCAAAACTGAATCCTTAATGCAAAGCTCTGTTCCAGACACCAAGAGAGTCCTTCTTTGACTCAGACTCGATCTGGTATGAAAATCGCCCACTTGGGAAAAACAAGTTAGGTACACGTATGAAGGAACTATCTGTTGGGGCCGCTCTTTCTCAGGAATACACCAACTATTGTATCAGGACAACGGCTATAACCGCTCTCAGTCATGCAGGATTTGAAGCGAGGCACATAATGACAGTTTCTGGTCATAGAAATGAGGCCTCAGTCAAAAGTTATGTTCGTGACACAACCGTAACTCAGAAAAAAGAAATGTCTGCTACAATCAGTAGTTTAGCACCAGAATCTGCCAGTGTACATGAGTTTGAAGATGGCTTGGATGATGTTTTGTCACTATCTCTGTCGCAGACTGAGTCAATTCTGAAGGATATAACTTCTTTTGAAAACCAACAAACATCCAGTACGATAAACACTGACCTAGGACAGTTTTGTAAGCCACATCCGCAACATCTCTCTGCAGGCGCTGTGATTGGATCCGAGCTTGTGGGAGCTGACACAGTAGCGCCACATCCAACTCGTCTTTCTGCCGGCCCTGTGAATGAGATCAACCATGTGCGAGCCGAAAGTTCACTTCAAATACAAAACAATGCCCATGCTCACGGACAGTCATCATTTTCCTTCCATGGATGCCAGATCCAGTTTCATAATTATAACTAGATGATTTACACTACAGAAAATTTAGACAAAAATCCTACAATAAATACTTTAAATTTTAAGTGAACAAGTTGTGCTTTAAACTTTCAATATTCAGTGTATTAGACTAGTCTAGACTTGTGATAAATATGTAAGAAATGGATGAAGATTTTTTGTATGTGTCTGATATATACATTTTGTATTAGCTGTATAATTTAATTTAATTTAATTTTAGTTATCATTAGTGTAAGAGAATTTGTCAGTGAGATTTTATTTTGTTGTTAAATGATTATTTTTACTGAATTTATTGTTATGTTTCACATTAAATTATTACATGTTGATCAAAAGTCATGATTTGTCTTTAATTTAATTATAAATTTTATTTATACAGTTTGTGAAATTCTTTAAGTCCGGGTGTTTTGCTTAGTAACATTAAGTATTTAATTTTATTAACAAAAATGAAATGTTAAAGGGACTCCACTGAGGTTTAAAAGCCTAAAAACGAAATATTTAAATTTCTTACATGAATGAGCTGAGGCACTTTAAAAAGAAATATATGCAAAGACAGTTAAGAAATATACTTTGAAATGCAGTGAAAATCGTATTTTTATGCTTTTCTTAACCCGATTTGAGTGAAAAGCGTTTAAACGCTTTCATTTTGTGTCATTTTTTTAATATTTGAATAATTATTCTGGAAAAACGATGTGCGCGAATGATCTGAAATTTTGCATAAAGATTTGTTGTCAAATCCTATATCAAATGGTACATTTATCTGGAAAAATATTTTCAGCCCTATCATGTCAAAAAACCTCAGTGGAGTCCCTGTAAAAAGAAGAGCATGATTTTGATGCATTGCTTGAAAATAATAAAACAAAATCCGACTAGGGTTTGAGATATTTCACACACTGAACAAGTAAAATTATTATTTGAAAGCAAATAATAGTAAAAATGACAACAAAAAACAAAGGGATTAAAGGATTTAGATTCGGTATAATATAACAAATAAAACATGGCCTTGAGGGCAATATGCAAGTTTACGGACTGGTTGGTCAGACTTCGGAAGGCATATGGCCCTCAGCTGCGCTTCGGGCCATATGCCTTCCTCAGTCTGACCGTAAACTTGCATATTGCCCTCAAGGCTATGTTTTATTTGTTAATTGAATGAATCATATTTGATTGCTTTAAAATTGTGTGTTTTTCTAAGTAAAAATCATTTATTCTGGACTTTAAAACTGTAAGAAATATATTGTTTTATTATCATGACAATAACAGCAAAAAAGCAACAAAAGCAAACCGCTCAAATTCAAGAGTTACGCTGTAAATAATGATTTGTTAAGAATTACGCTGTCCATTATAATTGGTAAATCTAGGTCTGTTACATGCACCAGACATTTAAGATACTGTGGAATCATCATACCATTACTGCTCTGAGTAAAACCATTTAGAATACTTATGTTGTTACAAAGAAAATGTGATCCCTGTGAAGCATTAATCATAACAATCATTACATGAACATTGCAGACTCTTTTTCATTGAGTCTGTATATATGGGTAAATAAAAAAGTGCAACATCCCTCACGCCCCCTAGCACCGGTCTGAACGGTATTTAATTTTCAACACTTTAAAGTGTTGAAATCAATGATTCTGAAGGACAAGAAAAACTACAACAACACTGAAGTGAAGAACGAGGCAACATTTTACAGCTGTCACAGAGCACTTGACACCTGCTGTTGTGAAGTATAAAAATCTAAATAAAATGTGATTCATATTCAAACAGCTCCGAACAAATTTGAAATACTATTTTATATCCGGATTTCAACGGTTCGATTTTTTAGACATGTATATTAAGAGGGTTTCTAAAATATGCACAAGGCTTATCGTTTTCTATATTGTCTTTAATTTCGGAGAACATAATGTTTTCTCTGAATAAGATGAACACATGAATTCATAAAAAATAATTTGATTTCCGAATACGAAGTTAATTGGTTACCGAATACGAATGTAATTGTTTAAATAATCAAATGCAATCCTAATATAGATTATAATACTATTCACGAATATATATAAGTTCTATACTTTTAAGAGTGATCATATATATCATATTTTTATTATCAAGCATTTCCAATAGATTTTCATCAAACGAAGTAGGTGCGCTGCTACAGATTATTGTGTGGTAAAATGTTATTTATTCTCATAAAATAACCTATGGTAAATTACAACATTCCCATACAAATGCTGTAATTGTGAAATGGTTGCTTTACATTTCTAGAGCCTCATGTAGAGTCAATTGCACATACAATTTAAATCAAATTTTTAGAAACCATGTACACTTTTTAGTCTATTTTTAAAAACAAACTCATGCTTTTCGCGAGGAATACGAATACATAGAATATTATAAAACAGAACAACTTACACATGTATTTTTATACAGTTTCAAGTCAAATCTAAAATGAGTAAATACCATTATTTTGCTGGGAAAAGTAAGAACGTTAATTTGATATGAATTTTAAACACAAACGGTTTGTAATAATCGTTTGTTTGTGGTTTTTTAAATCAATATTTAATAGCCAATAACCAAGATTGAAGATTGACATTTAAATACTCGGAGTTACATAATTATCTAGAAAGTCAAATATGTAAATTCTTTACCAACCTTTCTGATATTGGTTAACTATTTGCAGCAACTTACTTTCTGACATTATAATATTTCAATCAATTCAATTCTAAAATTACTTTTCTTATTCTGTTTTGTGAAATATATAATAGCAATCCTTTAGCAGTATGAAGTCATATATTTGAACATATGATTTTTCATTCCGTATTCTCCTGTCATTTGTTACACATATAATATCACAATGCAATTACTGTTTAAAAGCAAACATACCTAACGACCCCATACCGAACGTACGCATTAATTGCAAGTTAAAGTACAATTTTGATTGCAAGAGTTCTTGGATACAAAAACGCAAAGCAATTGCACAAATTAGACTCAAATTGGAAATTGTCAAAACAAAAACAAAAACAACCCGGATCGCTCTTCTCTTTCTGTCATTTAAAATTCAAGGAAAAGAATATTAGCAAGTCATGCCAAGTCAAGTGACGGATGTTCTTTTCCAATTGACCACGATAGAAATATTCATCATTCCATACCAATTTTAACAGTGCTGTTATTACAACTACATCTTTAATGGACACATTTTAGTAACTCCTTCCGGTTGAATAGGGAAAAAGACATCGTGCCAAAAGGCAAAGTTTGACATTTTACGAGACACTTTAAATAGTCATAATAAGAGACGCTGGAATGTCAGAAATGCCATTCAGATTAATATCTAGCTGATGAGTCAGTCAACAGGACATGTTAACGAAATCGTAGGTACACTGAACTCTGTTTTTGTGTTTTTTCCAGACGACCTTGTAAGGCCACATTTAATTCAATCGCATTTCGATTTGGATAGGCGCGTATGGTTCCAGTCTCCTCAGTTAATGTAATTATCTAATCATACTAATTATAATAATGATGGTAATATTAATAATTATATCAGAGATTGTAGGAATTATTATTATTATTATGATTACAATTCTTATTTTTATTGTTCTAAAATCATTGTATTTTCATTATAATTAACGTCATGGTTAATAGTATCATTATTATTGTCATTGTTATTATTTCGTTATTATATTTTTTTTCGTTCGCCGTTAAACCAAACCAAACACAACAGACATTGTTATTAGCATATTTATTATCATTATTATTATTTATTATTATTGTTATTATATTTGGAAAAAGCTGGAATTAACTGAAGAGGGAAGTACACCAGGATAGGCAATTTGCTTATAGTGTATTACTAGGTCATTTTGAAATATTGCGTTAAAGATTCTGTTACATACTTTTTTATGGTTTTATATCATAAATATAATGCTTAAATGAAGATTTTTCAATATTGTAAGTTCCAAAAAGCATTATTTGTAAAGATATTACCGAATTTACGATTTCATGTTAATAAAGGGAGGTTATTAGAAATTTATTTTCTTTATAGTCAAATTCAATTTTTTTATAAGAAATGAATGCATATATTTTAATGATTACATATAATTTGGACAAATATTTGCAGTATATAGTTTACATATTCTTCGATGTTTGAAAATTGTTTTATAAGCATAATTATACAGCTATATAAAATTTCACTTAACCGTAACAACCTTAATTATAACATACAGGATCTTTAAATTTACGTAACAATGTTACTCCAAGACTATAATTTTATGTAAATGATATTCATTTTTCGTACATCAAATTGTTTTACAGAACGCTTTATTTCCTCAAAATCCCCAAAGAAGAAATGTAATGTAATTCGATTCTATTTTCATCACTTTGCCTGTTAACCATTTTCCAACGAGTTGTAAAAGAACCATTTTTAACTTAAAGGTGATACTAATTTAAGAAACAAAATAGAAG